TCAAACGCTTATATCTTTCATATGTTCTGATCCCTCGAACAGGTCTTGAAGAGTGTCCCAAATCTCTTTAGTAGATTTGCACAACTTGATGTGCTCAAAGAGAGAAGGAGGAACACTAAACACCATTTTGGAGAAGGCCACTTGATATGTATGTTACTTTTCGATATCATCAGCAGTAAGGGGTGTTTAACGTTGTTCATCTTGTCGCTTGAGAGTTGCATCGACATCTCTCACAGCCATTCTCACAAGAATGTGTGGACCATCTTTAACGGATCACCAAATAGCTTCACCTTTTTCTTTTCCAAGTACAAACATTTCCATCTGACTTTCCAGTGATCATACTCTTGAACAACTAGTAATGGGGTACGGGAAGGGAAACCCATGCTATTTGTTATTTGCATTGAATACATTTTTTTGAGAATTAGGAGCAGCCATTAAATCTAAGATATTAGAGTAGAAGTAGTATATAGAGGAACTTTTATCTTGAACAAAAAAATGATCGAAATACCAAGGTAATTTCGAATCAACTATAATTTGTTCTTATGGATTCAAAGGACAACCACTAAAGCTTTGATACCAATTATGAGTACTAGAATCAATACGCAAGGACAAGATTTGAAAACTCAAACCTTGAGTTAATCTTAAAGATCGATGTCTGCTCTTAATTGATGTTCGAGTCAAGTATGGCAATACCAGTCGAGACTTGAAGTAAAGATTCAACAAAGTACACAACTATTAAATTAAGAGACTTTATGAGTATAATCAAAGTAAAGACAATGAATGAACAAGAAGAATGTTGTAAAGAAGTTTGACTTGAGAGAAAAGGGAAAGAGAGTTATGTGGAATATTTGCTATCTTTGGAGAGACAATATGTGTATTTCTTGTCATTTAGAACACTCCTTATATAGCAAAAGCAAGTACATCATACAAACTAGGATTCTTTCTAAGGACTGGATAATAAACAACTTCTGACAACTGATTATCCAACATATATAAAAAGCTTTGTCCTATAAAACGTTACATCATACAAGAGACAAGAAATATGAAATGATGAAACAGACACTTGGTCTCGGATTATCACAGCCTCTCGGATTCACTTTCACTTCGGACATCATCTTCACCTCGGACATACATTGATCTCGGATCTCTAGAACTTGTGATTGCTAGAGGTTCACTTTCAGGTTCCAACAATCTTTTCTCTCTCAGCGACTCAATCGTGACACTACATATTGGTGTCCCCCACCAACTATAATATAGAGGTAAGAACCTATTTCTTGAACCCTAATCTTTAATTTCGTGACAACAAAGCTGCCACCTTCATATTTATCTACAATATATGTCTACGATTTTAGGATTCAATATGAGTGTTCGAACAATTATACAAGATTTGAAGGAGAACTACCCTACCATCGAGACGACATGTAATTTTTTTAGAAATCCATGTGAAATATCTTAAATATCATGAAGATTCAATCTTCTGATTTAATTAATTAAACAATTTTGTAACCAACAGAAAGCAATATGATGATAAACATCAAATGCTGTTTTTGCATACTTAATCCATTTGTTAGAGGTAGTTTTTGGCCTATAAGATATGTATTGTCTATAGTTAATGAGAATATAGTATGTGAATATGAATATGCAACCGATGAAATATCTAAAAGAAATCAAAAGATGAAAAGCATGTCACATGTTGAACAATTGTAGTAGATGAAATTACTGGTAGTTAACAAACTTCAAGCATGTCAGTTTCATGTTGGCATAACATCAAAAGTAGTTACTTCTTCTTCCATCTAAACATGCATAGTTCTGCATTGGTCCCCAAACAGGGTGACAGTGATCCTTTTGAGATTGTTCAGTGTTAATTAAAATCATAAACACAACAAGATGAATTACTATATTCAGTATCTAACTATGGCATGCAAAGATCCCTTGTTTTCCCCAACCAATGCTTATGGATCATTTTGTAGATAATGAACATATGAATTAACAGATTTAGCATCTCTCTATGTGAAAAATTACCATGATCATGTTCAAACCATTCAGGCTCATAAGCAAACCAGTCTAATGTCGCCCTGCAGGTAGCTTAAGTTTTCCAGTTTTCCACTTCAGAAGTTAAACTAAAAAAAAAGAGAAAAATATTATATTAATAAGAAGGTCAAGTTCTGTAATATCGATAAATCCCATCTTCCAGCAATTGAATTCTCAATCTAACTTTTTTCAATCTTAATTTTTTAATCTCGGCCAAACTAAAGAAAATCTTAATTTTTCAATGTAATTTGAAGTTGTTTTGAACAACCTTGCAACAAATGTCCCCGATGTAAAAAAAAAACATTTATCCTCAAAATGCCACCACGTCTCTACTTCCATTGCCTCTCATCTATTTTACAATAAATTATCTATTTTTCAGTTATTGTGCAGACGGTTGCTAAGTAGAAAAAGCGAAAGAATACATGTTCAATAAGTTGTACAGTTCCATAAGGTTATATTCTCTATCTACATCAAGTTGTATTGAGACTAAGACTCATGTCAATAAGATAAATTTGTCTTTCATTTCCCCACCTAAAATTGGCGGATAGATGTCAGTGGGTTAAAAGTACAATTTTTGAAAAAGATACAAGAAATGCTCTTACTAAATAACATCACATCCTTCATCCATTATTGTGCTACTCTCTTAAAATAAAGCATTGCTTCATGAGAGACACAAGTTATATCTAATGACAATACTCTAAAGAGAAATTCAAATCCTTTCGAGTTTACCCTCGGGTTATACCATAATAGCTTTACTCTCTTTGGAATTTGATGTTTTAGGTATTATGATGATCAAAATAGGAGCCATAATTCCTTTTTCTTCCATTGTACTTCCAATGAGGATAATTCTTACAGATGCATTAGCAGAAGTGAGTCTACACAAGAGCTATGTATACCGATTTCATCTCAAGTTTTACTCAAACCCAAAAATAGTTTTTGTTTCATACTGATTAAGGAATACATGTATTTGGATTCGTTTAACACAACTTCAAGATTTATAGTTATTATCGTATGATTATGATGCACATATTATTTTTATCTGATTACATTAGTGATTCAAGGTCATGAAATTGGTAGAGATTTAGAATACCTTTTCAATTTCATCTAAAGTCAATTAATTGGTATATAATTTTATAACTTTGTTCGACCTTCTTGATTGCTCTAAAGTACTTGTACCGGTGAAATTTTGAATCTTAATGTATTATTTCTTGATGCTGTGAAGGTATTTGGGGCTTACAAACTTCAATTTTTTTTGGTGGCATCTAATGTAAATTGGATGACTTTGAAAGTACATATATACATCCATGACGTATATGCCTCAATGTTGTGCAATCTTACATATCTAATTAAGGGTTATAAGAAAAATCCTTTATGTAGCCCGCAGAGAAGATTATGTGACCATTTAAACTATTTGTTTCCATATAAATCACAATTGTATCATCCTTTTGCTAAAAATTTATTACATTTTGAGGGGTTTGTTCACTTCTAATTATCATGGAAGTTGCAAACGCAAGTTTAAACATATGGATTGTATCAAGTTTATGGTATAAATATGGAGTCAATTGTATCCATAAAACAAAACCATGATGAGTTTTGTTCGTTTTGTTCGTTTCAATGTGCTTACCATTTCAAAGTCGAAACATTCATGAAATGATTCATATTTAGTATTAAAAAGTTTTCGTTCATTATTTTTGCTTTAAACGTATTGGTATGGAAAGAGAAATTAATTTATATATTTCTTTTTTAGGCTTATTTTTTTTCGGGCCACGATTTCAATAAAAACCGATAAAGGTTATCATTATGGATTATACTTTTTTGACTAACAAAAGATCAAAAGCTTTTTGTGGTCAAAGCTTGAAGACTTGACTAGCTGATTTTTTAATTAAGTTTTCCCATATCATGCTCATTGAGTCATTTCATACACAATTTTCATAAATTAGTAAATAACATCACTAATTTTAGAGCAAAATCAGTGAATGGCATAATTGAATTTCTTTTTTTTACTTTTTTTTTTGAACCAACAAGTTTAATTTGATATTTTTTAGTTATCAAATATATAAAGTGAAGATGATGTTTATCGTTGAAAACTATGAGCATTGTGATAATTTCAAAAAAAATGCTCTTGAACGGAATCAATGAATCTTTCAAGGTTATCAAAACCAATGGTATGTGTTGTGACTATGAAACATAGCTGGACATAAATTATTATAGAATAGTTTCGGGCATGAATTTGCGTAAATAATAAAATTACGAGGATAATGAACAATATTTTTCTTTATCAACTGTGGTTTATGCTATTTTAAGTTTTTCAACCGTGTATTACATGAGTTTTTACAAATTTTTGATTAGTTATTACGATTTAGAATTATAAATAATATTTTTCTTTACTAGCTGTGGTTTTCACGGGTTTAAACCCAATATATATTGCAATTTTAGAGTTTAGAGTAGTTATTTACCAAATATATATATATATATATATATATATATATATATATATATATATATATATATATATATATATATATATATATATATATTTACCGTTTTAAAAATGCTATAACAAAAAATTAAAAAACGATAAAGATGAATCACAGCAGAAGAGAGAATGCGGGAAACCCTCCCCGTACTCTTATCCCACTCACCCACCCTCGATGTTGTGTTCCGAGGTGCAGGATCTGTTTTGTTTTTGCAACAGCAACGTACCGCATGGCCTAAGAAAGAGGAAATGATTACGTGACAACTATAGGAGAGTTCCTCGTATTGTCTATGTCTTAGTGCAATTGATAATTCTATCTTATATACATAATTGAGGATCTCCATCATTATACAAGATGTAATTGTTTGAATAAGTATAGTTGTCAGAAATACACCCATTATTTTCAAATTTCATACGAAACAAAGAAACAACTGAAGTATCATAACGACCTAACGAGTAACATTAGAATCAGACTCCATATGTAACTATAATATTAGTTCTCATGTGTTCCTTTTAGTTCTTTAGAGAATACGATGGAAAATATATTCATGTGAAAATGATGTAGTCCTGGGAACAAGAACTTGATCAAGAATAGAGCCTTCATGAACCTTGGTTGTGTAATTGATGTTGCTCCTTTACATACTCCATCAACAATGGCTATTGCACATGACTCTGCTCCCATTGTTGGGTGGATGGTTCCAAAACCCTACATGAAGTTTAAAAAAAACAATAAAAAAATAAAAAAATAAAAAGGACAGTGGATATTATCCGTTATTTAGCGGGAAATGAGCCAGTATCTACTCACTCTTCTTAGACGAACGCCAACACCACTGGCTGAATACTTGGGTGTTATCATGTTGGTTTCTATGAAGCCGAGTGTCAAAATTGTTATTGTTACTTTCGGAGACACTTCGAATCTAAGGGACTCATAGAAGCTGATTAAGGCTGCTTTACTTGCCTGAAATTTGAGACACATCAGGTACAATATGCATGGTTATATATATGGTCTAAATAACAAAGGAGAAACACAAAAAATGAGTCGACTGAAGTAGTTCGTTACATTGTAGAAGCCACCTTTCGGTGGGTGCAACACTCCGCTACATGAAGCGTTGACCACAATCTTTCCATTGGTTCTGATGAGATGAGGTATCGCAAAATGAGTGGGATAAACTGATCCCCAAAAGTTTATGTCCTGTTTGCATTGTAAAATGAATCATTGCAATGGTAGCTACGAGAGAAGAAGTTTACAACTACGGTTACATTTGTTATATGTGACAAGCGATAGAGAATAATTGAATTTAACTGGAGCAGGACAACCTTTATATATAAGATTATCTTTAATAATGATGATGTTGATAACATGCATGTCTTTTATGCACATCGATTATTGAGAACTATATCACCTTTTTAGGATAAAATTAAAATGTATCTTTTATTTTCATAAGTCCCTGGCCTAGTCCTATACTTTAAAGAATAATATACCATAACCGGTGCGAATTTGGTAACGCCAATATTAATCGAATAAAGGGACCCGATTCCAGCATTACAAACAAGATGATCTACTGCAAAGGATCAATTTTCATGTTAATTCTCACACACATACACACAAAAAGAAATTGTTATTGAAAAAAAATGATTTGGAGATTAGGGATTACCCACATCTACCAAAACGTCTAATGGTCTCATCGACGAACATCCTACACTCATCAACCTCCTACACATCTGCAAACATGAAGAGAACATCCGGAGAGCCGAATTCACGGGCTTTATCTGCCACTTGCTCGAGTCGACTTTCTGGTTCTTTTATCGCAACAATTGCTAAAAATGCACCTCTTTTCGCGTATTCATAAGCCATTAGCTGCCATTTATGATTAAAGCAAATCAAAAAACGATTGAAATAATCGTAAGGTTAAAGGTTGGTTTACATACCTCTCCAAGTCCGGATGAAGCACCAGTGATTAAAACCACTTTTCCCGACATGTTTTCGATAGGTTGGAAACATGATCGGAGGATGGTGACGAGTTCCCAAAAGAAAAGAAAGGGTGAAATGAGAAGCAAAAGTAACAAGAAAACGTAGTACACAAGTGCATTAGTGAGCTTGTTGTTAAAGTAGGATTCATACATAGCGATACACACACAAGGTCGACTGATTTCCTTTGGGTTTGTTAACAAATAATTGGAATAGTGCATTTACTACGCTCATTATAATTTATAAGTATGCGTCTCGGTTTATTTGGTTTACATTAGTCTACTATTGATTTGAAGATTATTAAGTTATAATTGACACTCAAGTCGTATAGAATTGAGGTAAATAGATTTTTGGGATGTGGATGTTTGTTCGTTTATGACAAATGGGCCCCCCATATCAAGAGCAGCAAAAAGATGTTTTGCTGGATGTGGGTGGCAGTGGGGACGGTGATGCGACTTAGAAAATGAAGTAAGTACAATTTTTCTAATAAAAAATGATCCACTACTTTTTCGTTTCTGATATGCATGTCTCAATGTTTTTAGTCATTATATAATTAGAAATTTTATTTTGAAATCATCATTTCAAGCAGTTACAAAATATATGATATAGTAACTATCAAATACAAGATGTGTACTATTTTTCGATATATATTTTTGAATATTGAAATATAATAAATAACATGATTTTCAAAGGAGATTTAAAATTTAAAAAGTTTATATTTATAGAAAATAGACGTTGACAACAATGCATTAATTCTATGATCTATTATATTACATCAAGTTTTGTACAAATTGACAAACTTTTAAGAATAGAACACTATATAGAATAACCACAAATAGAGTAATATAGATTTAACAAATCTACCACTTTAAAAAAAAAAAAAAAAAAAAAAAAAAAAAAACTTTTTCAAATCTACCTCTCTTAATAAATAAATAACTTCAAATTATCATTTGTTCATTACATAACCATCTTTTATCATCTTTATTTCTTTGTATTTCTACTTAAAATTTTACTGCATATTAAAAAAATATATAAATTAATTTTTTTCATTATATTTGACAACAATATCAATCATTAAATTATTTTACATTTCAAATCTCTTAATATTAAACAGTATCTTTATTCATTTAGATATTTAAAAACAACTATTTTATTATATAATATATAATTGTATTTGTCATGTTTAATATATCAGAATTGTTTTCTATACGTTATACTTTTATGTTTTTCTCATTAATCATGAATTACATAGCATTATTTAAATGAGAAAAATGCAAATTTAGCAAAATAAAATAATTACTTTATGGAAAATAACAATTTTTTTTTTTTTTTTTGCAAATTTATCCACTAAAATCGTAGGTGGAATAAAGCCATCTGCGATTTCAAGAAGCCACCTGTGAATGTACAAGTGGCTAAAGCATAAGCGTGCTGTAACCACTTGTACATTCGCATGTGAGTTTTTTTTCCTATATAAATAGCTTGTTTTTCAGACTAAAATCGCAAATGGACTTAGTCCATCTACGATTTCCTCTTGTTTTTCATCTGCGATTTTGAGTTTTTTTTTTTTAATTTTATTTAATTAATTATTTTTTTTACTACGAAATTGATGGGGTCGACTACGAAATAAACCTATTATATATAATATTTTGCAAATAATTATCAGTTTAGTTGTTATTTCTTTGTAAAATTTCTTTAAAACCTCTCTAAAAACATGATCAAATATTTGGGTTGTCTTATTACTGGTGGGAGATAGGAAGTTATTGAAACAAATCTCGAATACGTATGTCCACAGAGATGTATTTCTAAATTCACTTTGATATTTTCTGAGTATATTAGTTTAAGTGAATTTGTATCTTTGGTAAGAAGCAAGACCGGTTTGTTAGACAAATATAAAATTAATCTTTGTTTTTATCATCCTAAATTAAATCATTATATAGCCATTGTTGAAGACATAGATATTAGAATGTTGATAAATGTAATCAAATGTAGTGGATGAAGGGATGTGAAAGTGTTTGTGGTGGCTGATGAAGGTGATGCGGTTACGGAGGGTGGCCAGAGTGGAAATGAGTCGGTTTCTAATTTATGGAGCGATAAAGGAAGCAACAATTCAAAAGGGACTTTAAATACTTCTAGTGTCCCTTAATTTCATAGTGTTGTTGAAAATGTTAATGTTAGGTATTCACCTATTCACTATGTGGATCTTGAGAATTACAAGTACGTTGGTGATGATGATGTTGGTGCATATCTTAATAACGTGGGTGGATGTTGTGTTGATGTTCCCGAACAAGAAGTTAAAGTTATGAATAGACGTGTAGTAGATAAAAGTAAAAAGAAAAAAATTATGATTCAAAAAGATGAAACTATGCATGTTTATAGGGATTGTTGATGTTGCTGATGTAGCTTTAGATATAACCGACTTAGAAAGCAATTCTGATGGAGATGAGTTGGGTGATGAAGTTAAAGCTAAGTTTCCCGATAACCTCTTTTACGGTATGCCCGCTGTACTGGTATGTCCAGTTGATATTAATGAAGATATCCCAACACAGATGGTAGACATCAGTCTTCAAAAGATTGAATGTCCCAATATATTTAAGAACAAAGAGCTTCTAAAATGGGCTATTGGGAAAAAAAGTCTCCGAGAAGGTTTTCAGACGAGGACAAGTAGATCCATCAAATCAATGTATGAGGTTGTGTGTGTTGCAAAAAATTGTTCTTGGTTACTAGGAGCAAAAGGAATTAAAAATAATGGCGGACTTTTCCAAGTGAATAAATATGTTGATGTACACATATGTTCTTCAACACTTTTGCAACCTAATCATCGACAAGCAAACAAATATGTTTTGGATTAATATCTTGCTAATGTTTTGGCTGAAGATTATAGGAGAGTATATTGGTGACAAGATATTATTAATGATATGAATGCTCAATTGAAAATCAATATTCCATACCATCAGGCTTGGCGAGCGAAGCAATATGCACTATTGTTGTTAAGGGGTACGAAAGGGGATTCTTTTACCAAACTTTCGGCTTATTTCCACAATTTGGTCAAACATAATCCAGGTAGCGTGTCACATATTCAAACAGATGGTGATGATCAGTTTAAGTTCTTGTACGTCGCACTTAGTTGCACTGTTAATATTATTATATTTTATTATTATTATTGTTTTTATTTTGATGTATTTGAATACATATACAATGTATTGTAGGTACGCACTTTTGTCAATTTTTGTAAACCGATCCTTGTAGTAGATGGAGCCCACCTAAAGGGAGAGTTCAAAGGTACCATGTTACTTGCAATTACCTAGGACGGATAAAACCAAATATTACTGGTTGCATATGGTATATGCAAAAATGAGTATACTGATTCTTGGACATGGTTTTTTCAAAAATTACGTGATTGCATAGGCAATACAGAGGAGCATACAATTATATCTGATGGGTCTCCATCTATAGCAACATTGAGCATTCTAACACTTCCTAAGTGTACATGCAACCCTAATAACCTTGGATCTATGTTTGTCTAATTATCATGCAAAGTTGAATTCCAAGGTTATATTCCTATCTAGCATACATGGGGAACATTTTTAAATTGAATGAAAGATAGAATAACTTACCTTGTTGTTGATTATGATCCATGAAACCTTATCAGCCTAGCACCCCAAGTGTGATGCCTCAAATGCTTCGCACAACACCAAATGCAAACGAGTAAACATTGAGAGAATCTTACACTTGAAAATCAGTCTAGCCCTCACTTGTACTTGTGTAGATGATTTTGGTGGATAGTATGTTCCTTATATAGTGTTGACACATCTAGGGTTACACCATGTAAATCCTAATGTGTCATGACTATTCATTTCCATGACCCATGGGTTTGTAACACCCATGGAGCATCCTATGGGTTTAACCCAACTTGATAATCCATGGAGCCTCTTAGCCCACTATACAAGTTATGGATGATTTACATAATCAACCCATATATTTAATTAGTTATCTTTTTGATCACTTAATCAATTCTAAATTAATTCTTGATAAAACTAATTAAATAATACTATTAATATATTAGAACTTATAATATATTAATAAACCACAAGTGTTATTTCTCTCATTTAGTCTATCTAATTGCATGGTGCCATGCAACCCAAATGAACCATGCCGAGTCGGGTCAAGTGCATACCAGAAATAGTTATGGACTTAGACATCTTATCCAACAGTCTCCCACTTGGATAAGTCTAATAATTATAATTGCAAGTATGACTTCAGGAACTGATCAGCAATCGTAGCTCTTTCAAGGTCTCTCAGAACTGAGAAGATGATGATACGCCATTTAAGATAAGTGATCATATAATCCTCTGTTCTAGATATCATCCGGAAAAATATATGGAACAATGTCTTACTTATTGTTCAGCAGTTTGTTTCCCGATTTCCGATTTGTTTGACAAAGAACTTAATTGAACACATCAACTTAGTTCTGACCGGGCCCGCTACTTAGGTGAAAACAAAATCATCGAGGGGCCTAGATATCAGCTTCTAATCCAAGAAGGAACAAATAAACTTCGACTAATGTCACACCCCGAAACCGATGGCAGAAATGTTCCGGGGCGGCGGACGTCATGTAAAGTATCACAACCAATGTACATAGCAAGCATAGTAAACACAAAACATTACATTACATAGGAATATTTACATATGTTTGAAAACAAAGTAATACATGTTTTATAGATACATTAGTTTGAACAAA